CATGAAAATTGGTATAGTTCTTCCTTATTAAAAAATATTAGACTCGTATTTTTTTATTGCGCCATTAGGGTGACCATTTCCGTGTTAGGGTGGTCCAAAAAATCATTTTTTTTCAAAAATGTCTTTTTTCAAAAATTTATAACTTTTGAAGCTCTTGACCGATTTTTACGATTGACCCTTCAAATGAAAGATGTTTTAATGTTGTTTTAAGAAAAGTTATGAAACACTCAGAGATATTTGATTTTGTAGGAAAAAAATATGTTACAAATGCTTTTTCTTGATTTTCACTGCGAGGGTCTTCAACAACTTCTTATTTTAGTATTTTTAATTGAAAGATCATTTAATTTTACATATCAAATCAAAAATAGCGATGTCGGAGAAGCAGTTTTGGAGATACAATTTTTTTTAAATAAAAAATTATTGTTCCGCAATATATGCACCACACGTGCATGGAAACGATGAAGACGCAAGGTAGTTCACAATGCGTCTCCATCGAGTCACAGCAGCTGTGACTAATGAAATCTATGAGTAACTTACAAGCTGGGTGCAACATCAGTTGAACCTGTGGGCCGTCCCATAAACCACGTAGACCTCCCCCCTCGTAACTTTACTAAAATTTTAAAATATTTTTACCGAGCGTATACTGTGCGGGACTCCCAACGGCCCAAGAACTTTATTCATGGACTATTTCTAAGCCAGATTCAAAAGACACTATCAGTTTTTTTTTTCGAAATCCGATTATAATAAAATGGAAAGAAAATTGAAAAACCGTTATATACGTGTGAACCAAATTTCGGGGACACAGTCATTCCATAGTTTTAAGCCTCAAAACGAAAAGTATATTATATACCAAAATTAATAATGACAAACTGGGGCCTGTTTTAGAGCCACGAAGACTTCAATGGGGGAGGGGACTCCAGCCAAAGTATACGCTCGGTAAAAAATATTTTAAAATTTTAGTAAAGTGTACGAGGGGGAAGGTAGGATCTGCAATGTTTAAAAATTGGTCTACCTGGCTTATGGACAGCCTCTAGGCTGAACTGAATGTTGCACCCAGCTTGTAAGTTACTCATAGATTTCGTTAGTCACAGCTGCTGTGACTCGATGGAGACGCAGTGTGAACTACCTTGCGTCTTCATCGTTTCCATGCACGGGTGGTGTATATATTGCGGAACAATGATTTAAAAAATTGTATCTCCAAAACTACTTCTTCGACATCGCTAACTTTTTAATATGTTATGTAAAATTAAATGATCTTTCAATTAAAAATACTAAAATAAGAAGTTGTTGAAGACCCCCGCAGTGAAAATCAAGAAATAGCATTTTTAACGTATTTTTTTCATACAAAATCAAAAATCTCTGAGTGTTTCATGATTTTTCTTAAAACTACATTAAAACATCTTTCATTTGAAGGGTCAATCGTAAAGTTCGAAGTTATGAATTTTTGAAAAAAGGCATTTGAGAAAAAATAGATTTTTCGGACCACCCTAACACGGAAATGGTCAGTCCCCCTAATGGCGGAATAAAAAAAAAATACGAGTCTAATATTTCTTGATAAGGAAGAACTAGGGTTAGCCACCTCATTTCCGGCCTATTAAGCATAACCCGCACTTAGTCTTTCCTAATCTAGTTCAGTTAAGCACCAAACGGAATGTTATTATTACTGATGGCTTCCAAATTTATTTACCTTTCCGTACGTACCGTAAGATTTGAAAACGAGAAACAAATCGTTGAGATATTGTCAAAAGTCCAACACTGCTTCTTGACGCCAAACTCGGCCGCAATTGAAACGCCAATGAATTCACTTCGGCCTATCGGATGAAGATAAAAAAAAAATTCGGTCGGAACGCTTCTTTTGTTTTTGGGAATAATGGGTGCAAACCTTCATACCACGCGTTCTCATTGACTTCATTCGATAGCTTATTAACTAAAGTATCGTCCCAATCGCATAATTGACTTGTTAATTCGTAAATCATGGATTTATTTGAAGTTTTCTGTTCGATAGGCCCAAAATGGGCGATTAGGCCGAAGTAGTTCTCTACCCTATATCAATTTTCATGAAATTCTGAGACTCACTATAACTTTTTTGATGGAATTGCTATAAACAAAGTCATGTCTTTTTTAATGCGTCTGATTTGGGATTCGCTCCTGGACCTTTGGGGTGTGCTGCTGCCGTTGTCTTTGTTCGATCTCACTGCGTCACGGCTATTCTCATATAAGTTTTGAACAGTAGTGTGATTCAATGTGCAATACACTTGCATAGATAGTGAAGGATTTTTAACAATTCAACATTGCAGTAAACAATTTTTTTTATATAATTTTTTTTTGTTTGGTTGCTTATACACCGGACAGAAAAATATCAACAACTAATGGTTATGTAAATTAATTGGTGTTGGTTTTTTTACGTATTTTTTTCCTTCTAGCAAAGATACTGCGCAACAATTATGGCGTCTACGGATGCCTACGTTGCGTGAATTAGATACTAACAACAGCCTTCCAAAGAATCATAGGTTGTATTTTTTCGGCCCAAAAACAAAACTTACATAAGGAGAGATTCAACAAATTGTGTGTAGAAGCACCGAATTAGGGAAGGTCCATTAATTATGTCACGCAAATTTGGCCCATTTGCAACCCCCCCCCCCTCCCCCCCTTTGTCACATTTTTTTTATATGGACCTTAATTGTTTTTTGTAAGGCTCGTCACAGTTTCCAAAACCCCCCCTCCCCCCTAAAAGTGTGACCTAATTAATGGACGATCCCTTATGATGTGGCAAATAAAAATGCTGAACACCAGTCTTTCATTCTGACAACACTACTTGTTGATAAGTCCACGGTATTTTTATTGTGATTATTTGTGTTCCATTTTCAAACTACGTATCGCTTTTTAATTCGTGTCTTGTTGCTCATCCGTTTTTTCACCTCATCGTTCTTTCCCCGTCGCGTCGGTGAAGTAAAGTGCATAGATACCGCCGATAGCGCATAAATTGCGTCGTGAGTGTTGCGCTTTTTGCTTTGTATTGACACCATTGGCTTCTACCTACCACCTCCCCACGCAATTTTTTTCTGTGAAGTGACATCTGCTGGAAAAAAGAGGAACATGCAATTTTGTCGATCTGCAGTGTATTATACTTGCTGGCGATTTCTTTTCCGCTGCAACATCGTTAAGGATGGCATGTACCAGCTGCAAAAAAGTGGTGTCTAATTCAAATCAAATTACTTGCCGCGGATATTGTGGTAATTCCTTCCATTTGATCTGCGTTAAGGTGGATTATTCGCTTCATGAGGCACTAGGAACCCACTGCCGTAATGTTTTCTGGATGTGTGATGGTTGCGCGGATGTGTTTTCCAATGAACATTTCCGGAAAATTACGTCACGTTGCACTGTCGATAATATGCCTGGCGAAGCTTCGTTAAATTCGCTGAAGGACGACATAGCTGGACTGAAGGAAATGGTCAATGCTCTTTCCGCAAAAGTTGATTCCAAACCTACAGATTTAGGATCGAACCCAGTATGGAAGATTTTCGATACTAATCCTGTCCCAAACATACCGAAACGGATGCGGGAAGAAGATCAACCTACGGCAAATCCTCCGACAATTCAAGGTACAAAATCAGTCTAAAATGTTGTAAAGACAGTTCCACAACGCGAGGATCTGTTGTGGATTTATTTGTCAGCGTTCGACCCTACTACTTCAGACGATGAAATTGCGAGTCTTACTACCGAATGTATGAATCTGGGCTCTAATGTCAAACCTAAGGTGATCAGGTTGGTCCCTAAGGACAAAGACCCTGCCACACTTAGCTTTGTTACTTTCAAAGTTGGTGTGAGCAAGGATCTCAGGGACGTGGCCTTAGCAAAAGAGACATGGCCTGAAAACGTGTACCTCCGTGAATTTGAGAACAACTCAAAAAAAAAACCGTTGAGTCATTCAGATCGGTGCGAAGCTTCCTGCAGACACCGGTGGCCAATAGGATTGGAACCAATAGATTCTCCACTGATAATCTCTTTCGCCGAAGTCAACCCAGAACGCACTGCCTGTAGCATCATGGAAGCCTGTAGTCCTCCCGACCCAGTCGTGCTTGCTGTTAGTTCCTGCCTCCACAGTCGTTCTGGACCTGTGGTCGAGGAAGGTGTCGGGGTCTTCCAAAATCCTCTCACAGGCAAGTATCTCGCTTGTATCAGCATTTCGTTTGTTGATCGTTCTTTGGCTTCTAAAATACTATAATTTCGCTCAAAAACAACCGAAAACGAGTTTTTCGATTCCGAATCAAACACCGGTACGCTTCAACTAGAACATTTGGAAGCAAATTATCCTTCAGACTCAGTCGAGCTTGCCGTTAGCTCCCACCGTATTAGTCGTCCCGGCCCTCAGGACAGAAGTGGAGACGGGGTCCTCCTACCTGTGATATCAGAACCAGAAACCAACAACAGATACTAATTCGATCACTTCTTCAAATTGATCAGCTTCATACCGGGACGCACCAGCTTGAGAACTTCGGAAGCCTCTGATCCCCCTATCACAGTCGTGCCTCTCCTGCCAGCGTTCAGCAGCCGTCTCGGCCCTGTTTGGGTCTGGTGAAGGGGTCTTCCAATTGGCTACTTCAGGCAAGTACGCTCTCAGTAACAGCAATTATGTACCTAATACGTCCGTCGTTTCTAGCCAGCCACTGCATGCTCGCCTCTCTTCATATGAAGCAGTTGTTTCGGCACCGGGATGCACTCCTGCTAGCTTCATGGAAGTCTCTAATCCTCTCAGCATAGACGAGCCCCTCCGGCCAGCGCTCAGCAGCTATCTCGGACCTGTGTATGAGAATGGAGAAGGGGTGTTCCAAACCGTCATTGCAGGCAAGTACACACATGTGTGGAATACTTCTCCTCCAGTAATGCCCATCGCTTCTAGTCTCCACACTTCAAACGGGTTTCACTCGGATATTGGCGCTATCGAAGCTGCTGAATCATCTCTCACAGTAACTTCTGCCCCTGACATCATCTCTTCAAGCATGCCACCGAGTCCCGTTGCGCCCTCTGCAGCAAACCGTACCACCGGTAACATTATCGACGACTACGGTAAAACGCACAAGGCCCGAGCTCTCCTCGATTCAGCATCGATGTCGAATTTCATTTCGAAACCGCTAGCTAAGAACCTCTACAGTCGCCGATCAACAGTCAACGTGTCCGTCGCAGGCATTGGATCATCCACACAGAAGGTCAGTACTGCCATTACCGCAACCATCGAGTCGGGAGATCGAACGATCTCGATGAAATTGCAGTTTTTGGTATTGAAGCAGCCATCATCGGAGCTGCCAACAACGCCGATTGACATTTCGGCATGGAAAATTCCGGATGTAAGGCTAGCAGATCCTCAGTTCAGTATTCCCGGAAGTGTCGACCTCGTCATCGGCAGTGAAACTTATTGGGAACTCCACACGGGTAGGAAGATTTCTCTGGGTGAAGGTCTTCCGTGGGTAGTCGAAACCCCATTTGGTTGGGCGGTTACTGGTCCCGCAGCTCGCACGGCTACCTGCATTCCACGATTCTGCTATCTCTCCACCGTAGATGAACGGCTGGAATCCACTCTACAAAGGTTTTGGGAAATGGAAACAATTCCATCGGATCCGGTCCAGTCTACCGAAGAAAGTCGTTGTGAGGAGCTGTACGCTGCAACGACTACGCGCGATTCATCAGGAAGGTACGTTGTGCGTCTCCCACGGATTGAAGATCCCGAAATCATGCTCGGAGAATCGAGATCAATAGCAGATCGACGCTTTCTGAGCTGCTATATTCCACATCACGTCGTCTTCAAGGAATCCAGTACGACCACGAAAGTCAGGGTTGTCTTCGACGCGTCATGCAAGACTTCGTCGGGCTATTCCTTGAACGACACTCTGCTTGTTGAACCTGTTGTTCAGCAAGATCTCTACTCGATCTATTTGAGATTCCGGACAAGAGTTGTCGCCATCGTAGCAGATGTCGAGAAGATGTATCGACAAGTGCTGCATCATCGAATCGACCTAGTATTCCTCCGCATACGATATCGTAGAAGTCCTACCGATCCAATCGCCACATACGAACTACAAACTGTCACCTACGGAACAGCAAGCGCTCCTTATTTGGCAACGAAGACACTTCAGCAGATCGCGAAGGATCATGAGCATTTGTATCCCGCTGCAGTCAACTCGGTTGTTGAAGATTTCTACGTCGACGATCTTTTGTCTGGAGCATCGGATGTGGAAGCTGCGATTATTCTCCGCCGAGAAATCACTGCCATGCTTAGTTCCGCTGGGTTCATGCTGAAGAAGTGGGCGTCGAATGCCCATGAAGTGCTAGAGGGTGTCCCACCAGAGGATCTTGCAATTCAGCCTATCCATGATCTACAGGATGAGCAGACAATCTCCACACTTGGTCTACTTTGGGAGCCAACCGCCGATATGCTACGGTTCAAGGTTGAATTACCTCTTCCTGCTGCCATCCTTACAAAGCGGAAAGTGATGTCGTATATAGCTCAAATATTCGACCCACTGGGATTATTGGGTCCAACGACAACCAAGGCAAAGCTCTTCATGCAACATTTGTGGACGTTGAAGCGCAATGGTGTTTCCTGTGAATGGGATTCTCCACTACCAGAGAAACTTCAAGCCGATTGGAAGCAGTTTCACTCTACCCTCCACATTCTCGCTGATATCCGTATTCCTCGATTGGTGTTGGCTTCCGGAGTCAACAATATCCAGCTGCATTTCTTCGCCGATGCATCCTCCATTGCATACGGTACGTGCTGCTACGTTCGCACGGAATCAATGGTAGGAGTATTTGTACACCTTTTGACATCTAAGTCTAAGGTCGCCCCGTTGTCTACACATCATTCCATCGCTAGACTTGAGCTCTGTGCCGCTCATCTAGCTACTCAACTTTACAAGAAAGTAGAAGCGACCTTGAAGGTTTCAGCAACGGCATTCTTTTGGTCGGATTCCAGTACCGTGCTTCAGTGGTTGCGTGCATCTCCAAATCGCTGGAAGACATTCGTCGCCAATCGCGTGTCTAAAATCCAGACCACCACGGATATCAATCACTGGAGACACATCGCAGGCTTAGAGAATCCTGCGGACGATATTTCTCGTGGCCTAAATCCAACGGATATTCTGCACCGTTATCGGTGGTGGCATGGCCCACCATGGTTGTCGCAAACTCGCGATCTCTGGCCCAGGACCATCATCGATCAGGAGTACTCCCCCGCAGCGTCCGAAGAAGGGCGCAAAATTCCGATTGTTGCAATGACTGCTGCACAAGCAACTCTCTGTGAGGATTTGTTCGCACGGTACTCCAGCTACAGCAAACTACGCCGAGTCTTGGCATTCTGCGAACGCTACCTACAGTGCCTGAAAGATCGTTCTCTCCTGCGCAAATCCGATCCCAGTTTCGCTGAACTAGTAGTTCAAGGAGATAAAGCCGCATCCGTTTCACGAGTTGCCACCACCGAGCTTCAACACGCCGAACAGCTACTGTGCCGTTTATCACAACGCAAGGCTTTCGCTGAGGAGCTCTCCGATCTTGCAAATGGCGAACGCGTCATTAAGTCATCTTCACTCAAATGGCTGAACCCGTTCGTAGACCAAAACGGTATCATCCGCGTCGGTGGTCGTATCCGTAACGCCGCGTTATCCGACGCAATCAAACACCCGATCGTTCTGTCCGCTAAACATCCGCTGTCTGCTCTGTTGGCTAGCAGTTACCACCAAAAGCTACTGCATGCAGGTCCACAACTCCTGCTAGCCACTCTCCGCCAGAAGTTTTGGATTCTGGGCGGCAGAAACCTCATAAAATCCGTCTTCCACCAATGCCACACTTGTTTTAGAAGCAAGCCAACTCTAGTCCAGCAGAGCACAGCCGATCTGCCGGTATCGCGAGTTTCGCCGACGCGTCCGTTTTCCGTGTGCGGTATCGACTACTGTGGACCGTTCTACATCAAGTCAGCAGTTCGAAAGCGTGGTCCTACAAAAATCTACGTGGCCATATTCGTTTGCTTCTCAACCAAAGCTGTTCACATCGAGTTAGTGAGCGATTTGTCAACTCCTGCGTTCCTAGCTGCACTACGTCGTCTAGTCGCCCGCCGAGGAAAAGTCGTCGAGCTCCATTCTGACAATGCTACTGCCTTCAAAGGTGCTTCGCATGCCTTGAATAGGATTTACCGAATGCTAAAGATTGAAGCTGCTGACCGTGCGCAAATCTTCGATTGGTGCTCCGAAAATGAAATCGTCTGGAAGTTTATTCCACCCCGAGCTCCACACTTTGGAGGCCTCTGGGAAGCCGCTGTCAAATCTGCGAAAACGCATCTGCTGAAGACCGTTGGTAACGTCAACTTAGCCTACGAGGACCTGTTGACATTGTTAGCACAAGTCGAGATGTGCCTCAACTCTCGTCCGCTTACGCCGATACCCGAGGACCCATCTGACCTAGAAGTCCTAACGCCAGGACACTTCCTTGTTGGAAGCAGCCTACAAGCGGTTCCTGAACCGAACTGGACGGATACCGCTGATAATCGCTTGGACCATTGGGAATTGACCCAGAAACGGCTGCAGGTGATCTGGTCGCGCTGGTACCCGGAGTATCTACAACAGCTACAATCTCGTGCAACTAAGGGTTGCAATCCGCCAGTCACCATCGAAGTTGGTGCCATTGTCATTATAAAGGAAGACAATGTTCCACCAACAAATTGGCCGTTGGGGAAAATTATCAAGCTTCATCCTGGAAAAGATGGTGTTGTACGAGTGGTGACTCTTCGAACAGCATCAGCTAAAGAAGTCGTGCGCCCCGTAGCACGAATCGCGTTACTTCCGTCGATGAAATCATCATCAACCTTGTGACCAGGTAGAGCAACCCATTCCGGGAAAATTTGCTCGATGCGCACCTGCACATTGCACAGGTAATTGTAGGTCCAATAAATTACACTTGCCTCGTAAGATCTACCTGTTCCTTCTCTTGTTCCCGGTCTCCGTCGAGGAATAATCATCCCACATCTACCACTGGATCAACCCGTGAACCCGTGGTTAAGCGTGCAAATGGAGAATCATGCGCAGCCGAAATTCTTGCAGTGAAAGGGAAAAGGGATGATTTTTTTGTAAATAAGTAGATTAAAGATCAGTTGAAATATTCCATATTTTCCATATTTCAAGGTGGCCGGAATGTTAGAGTTAATACATTAGAAATTTGAATTTACACATAGTAACAGTTTCAAATGACATGGATTGTAGTTTTAATTGAATTTGTGAGCACAGAGAGGGAGAGTGTATTATAACGACGATTGCCCATGGTCAACATTTGGATAGGTAGATAAGGGGTCTGCACAATTTGTAAATAATCCAGTAATAATATACACGTTGAAGAGCACAGTACGGCCGGTTTGGTGTCTCATTTTTTCTTTGGTCCTTCGATGACTGAATCGGTGTGTTTGAACGACAAAGTCCTCCCGTAAAAAGGGACTTAGAAGAATTTTGTGTGGTTAGTGAAGCATTTCTAGAGAGTGCATTTTTCGGTGCTAGTTCACGTGGCTAGTGAAGAAAGACCTTCGAGTACGGCAAGGCGAGTATCGTCATCAGCATGTTTTCTGTGTATTACCAGAATGTCAAAGGTATGCGCACAAAAATTGCTCAGCTCCGTCCAACTGTGACCAAGGAATCAAAAATATCTCCAAATGACAAAATGACAAGCGATCAACGAACCGAATAATAATGCCAGAAGTGGAAAGCAATAATGATATAATCTTCTTCCTTCTTTTTCATGACAAGCAGCCCGTGCGACACAACTCACTCGGGGCGGTAGAAGAAAACGAGAAAATTGCTGGCAAGCTGCTTCAGGAAGTAAAGCCGAAGATGATACACGTATGTTAATGGGAATTTTTTGTTATGTCTTTTCTCGATTCATATCAAGCTATGTCCTCATCCGTGTATATTGCAACAAAGCAGGCTAGCAATATATCATTATCTTTCTACCACTCGGATCGAGCTATGTTACAGAGCGAGTTTGTCGTAGCAACCGTTTTATCTGTATGGTTGGTTGCTTTATGTGTTTGGATTCGCTGGCTGTGACTATGAAGTATTTGTCTTTACGGAAACATGGCTCCGTGCTGATATTGACAGTCGTGATTACGTTTTCTTCCACTGTGATCGCAATGAGCTAACCAGTCCTAATTTGCGGGGCGGTGGAGTACTGATTGCAGCCAAAAACTACCTGTAGTGTGAATCTATTTCGATAGCTAACTGTGAAAATCTTGAGCAAATTGAAATCTCATTCGCTTTATGTAGTGGCTATCTATCTTCCACCTAAATCGAGTGCCGAGCTATATATTGCTCATGCAAGGACTGTTCAACAAGTGGCAGATCGTTTATCGGATTCTGACATAATCCTATCGATCGGTGATTTTAATCTTCCTAATCTGCGATGGCATCTTGACGAGGACATTAATGGCTTTATTTCTTCGAACGCCTTGACTGATACTGAGAGAAACTTTGCAGAAGCTATGTTTTAAAATGGGTTGAGACAGATTAATAACATTGTCAACACGAACGAAAGGCTCCATGACCTGGCGTTCACCAATCTCCCGGAGTATCTTGACCTGATTGCCGCACCTTCATCGCTGTTAACTGTTGATAATCACCACACACCAATCATCTTACTACTTGACGAGAGTGTTGTACCATCCGTACTTGACGATCAGGACAAATGTTTCAAATTTGACTATTTGGCATGCGACTTTGACTTGTTGAATTCTATTTTTATGAATATTGAGTGGGAACAGTTAGCAAGTTATGCTTCTGTAGACCAAATGTTATCAGCTTTCTACGAATCTCTCTCTGAAGTTATAAATCATCATGTACCTCGAAAGAGACAAGCACCAATTTCTGCTTTCAACAAACCGTGGTGGACTGCAGAGTTACGTACGCTTCGTAACAAGCTTCGTAAGCTGCGCAACAGGTTTTTTCAAACGAAAAATGAGTCCGATAAACCTAGACTCGTTAAGCTTGAGTAGCAGTACAAAGCCACTCTTTCTACAACACACGAAAACTATTTGTGTAGGATACAGACAACCATCAAAGAAAATCCTTCACGCTTTTGGGATTTCATTAAGAGACGCAAAGCTGGCTACGGCATCCCTGGATCGGTCAACTTCGATGGAACCACTTCTCGCTCATGCTCGGAGCCAGCTAATCTCTTTGCTGATTTCTTTGAGAGCGTATTTAGTAAAGCATAAATGCTGATGACCTAATTTTTTTTCGTGTAATAGTTTCTCCTGCTGACTGTGTTGCAGTGCAAGAAGATATAAATCGTTTGCTAGTCTCGTGCGGTGACAACGGCATGCGAGTCAACAGCACAAAATGCAAAGTGATATCCTTCACCCGCAGCAATAGAGTTATACCCCGTACAGCTCGTGGCTTATATCATGTAATATAGGCTGTCTTGCAATGAACACTCATACATCTAGTTTTCACTTGAAATCCTATGGATGAGTGCTCATTGCAAGACAACCTATATTACATGATATAAGCCATAGTCTGTACGGGGTATTACTCTTCATCCATACTGCATACTCCATCCCTAGAACGTGTAAACGCAATCTGCGATCTAGGCGTTACGATCAATTCCAGGTTAACGTTTTACGAATGCATAAGTATCGTAACTGCCAAAGCATACACTGTGCTTGGTTTCATTCGTGGTCATGCTTCTGGTTTCACCAAAGTTTATAGCCTCAAGACACTATTCTGCTCGCTGGTTCGTAGTATCTTAGAATATGCTTCCCCAGTATGGTCTCCATTTTACATTACGCATATTTATACGATTGAACGGCTTCAGAAAATTTTCATGAGGTTTGCTTTACGTCAGCTCCCATGGAATGATCCAGTCATTCTTTCCAGTTATCCAGACCGATGCATGCTGATTGATTTGGAATCTCTCTCAGCAAGGCGTATCAAATTGCAACGACTGTTCATCTTCGACCTAATCACCGGCAATGTGGACTGTCCCGAACTCCTGGAACGGATTTCATGGAACATTCCTCCTCGTAGATTTCGTAACTTCCCATTACTGGCAATTCAATTCCACAGAACTAACTTTGGATTCAATATCTGTTTTAATTCATGTTTGCGTTCCTTTAATGATGTTTGTAATTAGTTTGATTTTACCATGTCCGAAAATGTGTTTAGTAATAGAATAAGAGGGATAGATTAAACAAGTTTTAGTTTTAAGTAATCAGTCTGTACGACGTAGTCGAAGACGGTGTGCAATAAATAAATAAATATTGCTAAAAACAATTAAGTGTTGAGTATAACATCTACATCCCTTCTCGAGGTGTGGATATAGAAGGTGTGGTCTACGACGCGAGTCTGACTGTCGAGAACTTGAAACGTGCCTCGGGTGGTTTTAAAAACACGACATTCGCTACCGCGCTAGTGAAGATACTGGATGTAAGGCAACTGCATTCAGTATCTTTGCTAGACGGTACAAAAGTTTATCAGCATTCAGACTCGTTTCGGGTGACTTTCGCAGGTTCAGTTGTTTGTACAGAGGGTATACAATTGTACCAACTGCATTAGGCTGGGACATTCGGCCAGCCTTTGCGAAAACACAACTCGTTGTGGAAAATGTGGTGAAACCCACAATTAGTAAAATCAGTAAAATGCGCTTACTGTGACGAGAATCCTCACCCCTTGCAGGAGTGGCCGATGCACAAAATTGTTCATTAGAATGTGAGAATGTTAAGGTTTCGTAAGGACAGAAGTAAGAATAAAGTTCAGTTCCACTTCCATCTCCACTTGAGTACGTTCACTTATATATCACACTTCCACATTGGTGGCAGCGGTGAACCGTTTTTGCGTTAAAAAAAAAAAGTAAATTTCATAAAGGACTCAACGAGAAACAACTGTGAGTTGTTCCAATTGCTCGTTAAAGCGTCTGCTCGGAAGTGATATAATAATCAGTAACGTGACTGTGAGGTGGAATTTGTTTTAAATTGTGGAACCACCAACATCATTTTTGTGCAACAAGCAGTGTGGCAGTGGCAGCCTAATAAACAGACACTTAAAGAAGTGAGTTCTTTCACAAAGTGTCTTACGGCAATTTATTGTAAACGTTCAGAACAGTTGGAAGATAATTGAAGCTTAAGAAAACTGTTGTGACTTGGCGAAAATTCGTGAAGAGAAGCCTTACGGACCTAAATAAGGTTAAGTCGCAATTCGCCGTGTGGTGATTTTTACGGTAGTGCTTACGTTAATGGTGCCGTGAAGAAAGGCTAAAAGTGACTATCAGAACAGTGGTCAGACTCTATGCCCATTGAGTTGAACATTTCGGAGTTGTACCAGAAAAATCAACATCGTAGCGGCAGCAGTAGTAGCAAGTGACAATAAAACAAAAATTCGTGAAGGAAGACATCAGAGGAAGATATCGACATCAACAGTGATCGAGACATCGTCGCCAGCTGGAATTTCATTTACGTGGTCCTGAAGGAAAATTAAAACGCAAGTAGGTTAAAAAAAATTGTGTATTCTCATTGACTTAAATTTTAAACATTAGATTTTTTATTTGGTTTTTGTCTTTTGTGTGACGAAAACATTTTTTTTCTCAGTATTGAAATTTTATTCAATTTTCATCTTTCTGCATGAATTTTAGAAAAATCCTCGGATTAAGAGGAAGAGATATTGAATTTAATAACGAATTAAATTTGAGACCCTTGGAAGCCAATCTACTTCCAGAAAATTCAGAAGAGGAAACCGAAGAAGATTCAGATTCCTATCTTCCCTCTTTGCCTGATTCAGATTCCGATTTATCAAGTTTAAGTTCTTCTATTGGCATAATGGCCTTTGATTCGAAAGAAGCTTGCGAAGACATTCCAGAATTGATTGGAAAAAGTAATTTCCAACAATTCATGGCGATATGCCAAGATTTCAATGAAAGCCTTGGTGAAACACCAGAGACTATTTTAGTTAAAATAATAAAGCGGAAGCTTAAAAATGTAGAAGCATTTACATTATGTAGACATGCTACTACATTTGATGAAATTAAAACCATCTTATCTAATAAGTATGGTGAAAAGGCACCGCTGAATGTTTTGATCTCAGACATGGTAAATCTGAGACAAAAAGAAAATGAAGATGCTAAATCCTATGGGGATAGGGCTTTAATTCTTCACGAGAAACTGAAGCTAGTTTCTGAGGATTTGTTGAAAATTTCAACCCTCAATCGGGTGAGATCTTTTCATTTTATCTATTTAGATTCCATTTGTGTCACTGATTTATAAAATGCTCTATATTGACAAATAGAGCTTCCAAATCATTCACCCTCCCACTAACACAACTCTTTCCGTCCTGTGACACCTATGAAGGTAGTATGGGTTCCCTGCACCTTCTTAAGTAGATGTTGAATTAACTTTCCCTCCCGTCCCCTGCGATTGTAAGGATGTGGCCAGGTCTATAATGTGATGCTTGTTTTGTAGATTTTATGTTTGTGTGGGGGAAAATCACAAATCCCAAGTGATATTTTCTGCGTCAACACACGATATTTTCTGCAAAACGTATTAGTTGACCATTAAACAGCCACCCACGATTTGTACAATCGCATATGCTATGCTATGCTATGCTGCTATTTGTTGAAAATTTCAACCCTCAGATATAAAGATGTTACACCAGTTACTACATATACTCTAGGGTAATAATAGAGTATTTTATTAATGTATTAAGAACCAGTGATATAAAAAAGATTGTTAAGTCTAACAGTCGAAAAAGATTGTTAAGTCTAAGGGTATCCAAATCAAAATCGATTTCAAGTAAAAAAAGAAATAAAAACCGAACCGATTAGTTATATTAGGAGAGAACAAATGAAATGCGATTTTTGTGGCACTAATGGCCACTCAGAAGCTAATTGCTTCATACGCCAAAGGTCGCAAATAAATATATTGGAACAAAAAAACCAACAGGGCCTGACAAAGAGTGGCCCAGACATAGAGGAACTGCAACTAATGAAATCATTAGGGATTTCATAATCCCATTTATTAAATCTAGGAAAACAAATAGGCCAATTATTCCAATAAAAACGTGCCTCAATAGAGAACCGTTAACTTTTTTATTAGATGCTGGAGCAGAAGTAAGCGTTATTAAACGCAATAGTTGCATAATGAAACATCTTCTAAAGAACACAATTGAAATATCAGGTGTTACACCTGAATCAATCACAACTATTGGAACCATCATGATAACTTTTGATTTTGAACATTTCAAAAGGTTCTTTAGAATTAATGTTGTGGAAGAAAATTTTCCCATCCCGTGCGATGGAATATTGGGAAGTGATTTTTTCAATAATTATCCCTGTCAATCAATTGTTTATAGAGATAATTGTTTTAAGATTTTTCAGTCCTCCGGTTGCTATTTTATTAATGCAATGCGTGCGATAAATCTGTTAAAAATTCCTGCACGAACAGAATTGATTCAAAGGATTTTTGTTAATACTAATCATGATTTGATTTGTTTTTCTAAACAATTTAATAACAAACAAATCTACGTTGGAAATTATCTAGCAAGACCAATTAATTATTTCGCTCATGTACCTATCATTAATGCAACACACGACGAAATAGATCGATTTGAATGAATTAAATTTTGAAAAAATAGACTCCTTTGATATTTTGTCTATGAATGTCAAAGCAAACAATAGGCTTAATAATATTTTAGCAATTTAATTATTAAAAACATTAATTATAGATGTTATCGAAAAATTCAAGACGTGTTTTATTTAGATGGTGACGTATTGGACTGGCACTGATGCGACAACTCACAAAATCAATGTAAATCAAGAAAATCCAATTTTTACAAGGCAATATAGATTACCTACTTCACAAAAAGAGATTGTTGATGGTGAGGTTAAAAAAATGTTGAAGAATGGAATTATTAAAGAGAGTAACTCTCCATGGAATTCTCCTTTAATAGTAGTCCCAAAGAAAACTTCTGCAGATGGTCAGAAGAAATGGCGCGTTGTAGTTGATTTTAGAAAATTGAATGATATTACTATCAGTGACTCGTATGCATTACCATTGATAACTGATTATTTTGAACCGTTGGGAAAAGCTAGATATTTCACAAATCTAGACTTGACAAGTGGGTTCCATCAAATAAAAATGGATGCAAAGGATGCAGCAAAAACTGCATTTTCTACCTAGTATGGCCATTACGAATATTTGAAAATGCCATTTGGTTTGAAAAATGCGCCAGCCATTTTTCAAAGGCTTATGAACACAGTCTTAAGTGGTTTACAAGGAATTAAATGTTTTGTTTATATGGATGACGTTATTGTCTACGGGAATAATTTAAAGGAACACAATGAAAAATTATGTGAAGTTTTGGATTGTTTGCACCCAAACCCAAACCGACAAATGTAATTTTCTAAAGAAAGAAATCTTATTTTTAGGGCACCGGATAACTTCAGAAGGTATTTTGCCAGATGAATCGAAAACATGTGCCATTAAAAACTTTCCAGTACCCAAAAACCCAAAGGAAGTCAAATTTTTTTTAGGTTTTTTAAGTTACTATCGGAAGTTTATTCCGAATTTGGCAAATCTAGCAGAGCCTATTAATAAACTGCTGAGAAAAGGTCAGAGGTTTGTATGGAGTCAACATTGTCAACAATCTTTTGACGAGTTAAAATCGTTGTTGATAAGTTCTCCAATATTGCAATATCCTGATTTCCAAAACAACTTCGTCTTAACAACAGACGCAAGTAATGTAGCTATTGGAGCAGTTCTGACCAATGAAGGTTCATGTCTGCCCATAGCCTACGCTAGTAGAATATTAAATCCAGCCGAAAGACATTATTCTACAGTCGAAAAAGAGCTGCTCGCTATAGTATGGGCAGTAAAACACTTTAAGCCATACATATATGGTAGAGAATTCTTCGTTTATTCAGATCATAAACCATTGGTTTATTTATTCAACATAACACAATCATCCGACCGACTAATGCGGTGGCGGATTCAATTAGAAGAATATGACTTTAAAGTTAAATATATACCCGGGAAAGGCAACGTAGTAGCAGACACGTTAAGCCGAATCGATTTATGTAATCTAGACACTGCAGATCAAATTACAGAAGCAATAAGTGATGAAATAAGATCACACAAGAAAAAAATTGCAAAGCGCATAAATGTGATCACAAGAAATCAGGCGAAAAATGCCAATCAAGATCCAGACAATAATAATGAAAATGGAATAGCCGAGGATTATTCATGTTTTCTATTGTTGAAGGATCCAAGAAAAAACAAAAATGTTTGTAATAAAATAGATGCATCTAAAAACTCAATACATGTTTATATTGTACCTAAAATATTAAAAACTGATGTTGATTATGGCTTCGACAAAAATGTGTTCGATTCAAAAGATATTCAAAAATACGAATATATTTCGAATCTTGATAAACATTTTATTATCAGTAAAACTAGTCATAAAGGTAAAATTTGTATTTATGAATTTTATAAAAATCTGTGTATTTATAAAGAAAGTATAAGGTGTATAATGAACAAATCTATTAATTTTCATTTTACCTTATCAGCACGTGATGAAGTAAACTGGCTGAAATTGAAGGATATCACGGCTCATATATTTTCCAATATGAAATGTCGATTATGTTTTGTTAACAACTTGATAACTAAACTAACTACACAAGACGATATTCAGACAGTTCTGAAAGAATTTCATGATAACCCACTAGGAGGCCATGAAGGATTAGAAAGAACTACCAAACGAATTGAAGAAAGATATGTTTGGAGCACTATGAGACAAGACATAAAAAGTTATATTGAAAAATGCGAATCTTGTCAGAAAAATAAAATTCTAAGCAAAAACAAAATTCCAATGAAGATAACATCTTCAAAACCTTTTGAATAAAATTATCTGGACATTGTTGGTCCTCTGCCCACTACTAAAAATGGGAATAACTATATTTTAACAATTCAAGATGATTTGACTAAACAATTTTCGGCAAAACCCATTCCAGAAGCTACTGCTGAGATTACATGCAGAGCATTTTTGGAAGTTGCCATTTGCACATACGGCGTTCCTACGGAATTAGGTACAGACCGTGAAACTAATTTTGTTAGTAAATTATTTCAAACGCTTTGCAAATTATTGAAAGTAGAACAAATTCAAACAACTGCATACCATCCTCAGAGCAATGGTGCTCTCGAGAGATGTCATAGAACAATGAAAGAATACATTCGATCATTTGTGTGTAGTCAATTAAATGATTGGGATCATCCCACTGCGTCCTAGCAAGAAGTACGGTCGACTTGTTTCGCGCTCCGTTGTTTTGGAAGTTTTTTTTCGGTATTCGCTTGATATAAATTATCAGTTTTTTTCTCACTAAGTGACTCCTGGCATAGTTCCCGGTAAATTGATCGAAAAGTGAGTTTTTTTTAGTAGAAAGTGTCATTTTCGGAAAGATTAATCAGTGCTATTGGAAATTCGCAAACAAATTTGGGCATCATCGTTGCGTGGTCACGCATACGCGCTTACGCATACCCGCTCACGTATCATCATCATCGAGTGTGAGCACCCGTTTCTACATCTACATCGTTCATCAATCATCGTGCGCCTGTGTGCGCTGAGTGCCGCGCCTCGATCAAGTGCACCACAGTGAAGGTCATCCACGCTACGCGTCGCTTCCCAGCCATCTGTGTAAACGCCTACACATATAACGCTCGCTGGTAGTAGTATAGGATTATCAGATAAGTTTTTGTTTTTTTTTTGTTTCTTTTCCTCCCCATTAGTTAAATTTTCATTTTGTATTTCTGTGTTTGTAGTGTTTTCTGTGTATTGTGTCTGTGCGTTCAGTGAGAGAGCGTTTTGCGCTCCCACTAGTTGAACAAAATGGATGTTTTGTCAGAAGACGACATGGATGACCATTCATCTCAGAAAAATGGTGATGTCATCCCTGGTTCGTCGTCTCAGTCTGTCAATGGGCAGGCTGAGAAAAGCTCCAGATAGCGGGCCTACCCGAATGACTCGACTGGCCCATGGGTTGTCTATTTTCAGCCCAAAAACAAACCCTTGAATGTTGTTCAGATATCTGATGATCTGACAAAGCGATTCTCTGCCGTGACCGAAATAACGAAGGTTAGGCACAACAAACTTCGTGTGACCGTCGCTAACCTGAAACAGGCCAATGAAATTGCTGTTTCCCAATTTTTCACACTGGAATATAGGGTGTACATTCCAGCCTCTGATGTGGAGATCGAAGGCGTGGTCACTGAGGCGAGTCTGAACCCCGAGATACTGGAGAAGCAAGCGGTTGGCCGATTCAAGAACCCCTTGCTTCCTCCGGTAAAGATACTGGCCGTTCATAGAATGAAGTCAGTATCGCTCAGCGAGGGTAAAAAGAGTTTTACCCCCACAGACTCGTTTCGGGTGACCTTTTCTGGATCTGCCCTTCCTCAATACATCGAGCTGGGAAAACTTCGTCTTCCTGTGCGGTTGTTTGTACCTCGGGTCATGAACTGCAGGAATTGCAAGCGGTTTGGACATACGGCCTCCCACTGCGGCAACAAGGCACGCTGCTCCACATGCGGGGAGAAGCATGAGGATGGCGCTTGCGCAGCTACTGCACCAAAATGCGTGTACTGCAACGGAACTCCTCCTCATGCTCTCTCGTCGTGCCCGGCGTACAAACAGCTCGGAGACAAAATGAAACGCTCCCTTAAGGAACGTTCCAGGCGGTCTTTTGCAGAAATGCTTAAGACAGCCACGCCATCGACCACTGACAAAAATCCCTTTTCTCTTTTGTCAGATGACGAGACTGACTCTGACTTGGCTGAGGAGGGAACTTCTTTCGGTTTTCCGGAAGGTTCTGCACGGAAACGAAAGCGCATCCGTTCGCGGATTGTTGCAAACAAAGAACCCCAAATCAGCTTGCCTAAATCAAGGAGTGGTGGAAAAAAAGAGACTTCTACTCCTCCTGGATTCCGCAGAACTGACTATACCCAGGATTTTCCACCTCTTCCGGGGACATCCGAAACCCCTGATGCCCCATTTTTAAGAACAGAAACCCCTGCTTCATCTGGGTTGTTCTCATTTGATGACATTGTGGACGGTATTCTCAAATACCTCAACATTTCTGATCCTCTGAAAAGCATTGTCCTCACATTGCTTCCCACTGTGAAATCCTTCTTGAAGCAATTGACTTCAAAATGGCCCCTTCTTGCAGCTATCATCTCCTTCGATAGATAATTTTCCAAACGAGGTCGGGGATTTGATCACTGTTCTACAGTGGAATTGTCGAAGTCTAATTCAGAAATTAGATTCGTTCAAGTATTTAGTCCATAACAATAATTGCGATGCATTTGCCCTCTGTGAAACATGGCTCTCTTCAGAAATTGATCTCCCTTTTTGTGATTTTAACATTATTCGATTGGATCGTGAGGATTCACGTGGAGGAGGGGTACTTTTGGGGATCAAAAAGTGCCATTCCTTCTAAAGAGTGAATCTTCCCGAATTCCCCGGTATTGAAGTTGTCGCATGTCAGGCTACCATTAAAGGTAAGAGCCTTTGTATTGCTTCTGTATATATTGCTCCTAGAGTCTCTGTTAATCGCAAACAACTTTTCGACATATGTGCGGTACTTCCCGCTCCATGGTTGATCATGGGAGATTTTAACTCCCACGGTACAGGCTGGGGGGAGCTGTACGGTGATAACCGTTCTACTTTGATTTATGATCTCTGCGACAACTTCAACATGACAATCCTTAACAATGGAGAAGTAACACGTTTGGCTGGTCCATCCTCGAATGGTAGCAGATTAGACCTCACCTTTTGCTCCAATTCACTATCGTTGGATTGCACTTGGTATGTAATCCAGGATCCGCACGGTAGTGATCATCTGCCGCTCAAAATTTCGATTGCCAGTGGGTTCAACTCGTCAGAATCCGTTAACGTCGCGTATGATCTAACCCGTAACATCGATTGGACTAAGTTCCAATCCGTGATAGACGATACAGTATCGTCAGTGGAAGAGCTTCCGCCGTTGGAGGAATATAATTTCCTCTCTAATCTCATCGTCGACAGCGCACTTCAAGCTCAAACACGACCGGTGCCGCGATCGTCAATCCGTAAGAAAACACCATCGCTCTGGTGGGATCAACAATGCACGGAGGTTTACCGTAAAAAGTCCGACGCGTTTAAACTTTTTCGGAAACGCGGAACACGCGAGCATTTCGACGCATACACATCTCTTGAACGCGAACTCAAGAGCCTCATCAAGGCCAAAAAACGGGGCTACTGGCGGCAGTTTGTAGACGGATTGTCGCGCGAAACGTCTATGAATACGCTTTGGAGTACGGCGCGAAGAATGCGTAACCGGTCTACTAACAACGAAAGCGAGGAATGCTCGGATCAATGGATTCTTAAATTCGCGCGAAAAGTGTGTCCGGATTCCGTGCCGTCGCAGTTGATTCCTCGCGAAACCGCGAATTCGGTAGACGAAATCAGTCAGCCTTTTTCAATGGTCGAACTTTCACTCGCTCTCCTTTCGTGTGGCAATTCTGCCCCGGGATCTGATAGAATCAAGTTCAACTTGCTGAAAAACCTCCCAGACGTCGCTAAGAGGCGCATGTTGAACTTGTACAATCAGTTCTTGGAGCTCAATATTGTTCCCGACGATTGGAGACGAGTAAGGGTGATAGCCATTAAAAAGCCTGATAAACCCGCGTCGGATCACAATTCGTATCGGCCCATCGCGATGCTGTCGTGTATTCGGAAATTGATGGAGAAAATGATCCTTTTTCGCCTCGACAAATGGGTTGAGACGAACCACCTTCTTTCAGATACTCAATTTGGTTTCCGTAGGGGTAAGGGAACGAACGACTGTCTCGCGTTGCTTTCCTCGGAAATTCAGTTGGCTTTTGCTAAGAAAGAGCAAATGGCTTCTGTGTTCTTGGATATCAAGGGGGCTTTTGATTCAGTATCCGTTGAAGTTCTTTCAGAGAAACTCCACGTTTGTGGATTGTCTCCATTAATGAATAATTTTTTGTACAATTTGCTGTCAGAGAAACATATGAGCTTTTCTCATGGAAACTCTACAGCTTCTCGATTTAGTTACAGTTTAGTTACAAGACTCATGTTTAAGCCCCCTTTTGTACAATTTCTACGTTAGAGAAATTGACAATTGTCTTAGGTCACTTAATTTTCTTAGTGACAATTGCACGTTGAGACAACTTGCAGATGATGGCGTAGTGTCTATCACAGGGCCAAAAGAGGTTGACCTGCAAGGACCCTTAAAGGATACCTTGGACAATTTGTCTACTTGGGCTATCGAATTCTCCACGGAGAAAACTGAGTTGGTCGTTTTTTCTAGAAAGCATAGCCCAGCACAACCGAAGCTTCATCTTTTGGGTAAACCGATCACTCATTCCATGTCTTTTAAATATCTCGGGGTCTGGTTCGATTCCAAATGCACCTGGAGATCCCACATTGAGTATCTAAGACGAAAATGCCAACTAAGGATCAATTTCCTTCGTACAATTACCGGAACGTGGTGGGGAGCCCATCCACAAGATCTTCTGACGTTGTACCGGA